AAGACATTACTTTTGAAAAACAAACATAAAGTACCTACTACTAAAAAAGCACCTATCCAGCATTGTGAGTAATATAAGGATACTCTCTCCTCAGCTGCAAAGAGTGGACCTTTGGACATGGCCCCATATCCATTTTCTGAACAAGAGAAAACACAAGATTGAAATCAGTAATCCTAAAGTCTCAGTAACTTCAAAAGAAAACAAGACAAAACAACAAGTTTGAAATGAGAAATCCCAAAGTCTCAATAACTTGCAGAGAAAACTATAAAGAAGTATCTGCAACTCAAATGTGACCAAAAGCTAAAGTTGAACATATAAGAGTTTACCACATAAGAACAATGATACCTATGAATACTACAAGTGCATATGGTATCTACCTAAGAAACTCACCAAAATACCTTCCTCAACACATAAAATGATATGTGTCATACCAGTTGACAATAAAAAATAGGATTGCAAATGAGACACTAATTAAATTTATAAAGAAACATGGATCACAACCAAAAATACCTAGTTTATTTGTCTTCTATCTTACATACCCGTGATAAATAGAGAATTTAATGCCTAGCACTATTTTCTTTACGACACTTCACAGGTAACCAGAATAAGCAATTGAAAGTAAACAGAAACAGCATCCCTATCCTTTAAATTTAAATCTCTTCCAAATATACCCATGATAAAACAGAAAACTTATATCCATGACCCTATCATTTAAATTTATATCTCTTCCAAATATACCCATGACAAAATAGAAGACTTATATCCATGACCCTTGTTTTAATTTATACAGATAATAGGTTACCAAACTAACCCAAAAATAGCTAATAATAACATACCTCAGCTACTCACACACAACTACCGCTTCTTTTCTCTTGTTCCTTATATTTCATTAAAAACCATTTTCAGAATGCTTCTAGTAGCAGTCCTCATAAATACATGTAATTCAAGCTTACCACTAATTCAGCAACTTTCCTCTCTCCCTCTATCTCAGAATCCCAATTTTCACAATAAAACAAATGACACAACTTTCAATTCATCTCTTCTTAATTAGGAGTTAGGAGTTAGGGCATAACAAAAACCAGATGATGTGTTGTTCCCACACTCACCCCAACACAACCAATCTCTCTTTCTAAACTTCTCCTGCTTCTAAAACACCAAATTCCTCAGAAACCAAACACAGTTAAACAATTCGAATGCATAAACTAGGGTTCAAAAGGAAAGAGATGGACATGAATCATTTAACAATTAACGAATCATAAAGAAAAGATTAAAACAAAATTAAGCAATCAATCAGGAGAATACCGTTAATTGAAAGAGTTCGTGAGGGCAAAGGCCGGACAAGTAGAGGCGGCAAACATCGCGATCGTAGTACTTCCGATTCACCTCCCTTACGTCGCCATTACGGTTTGCACCCATCAGCACATCGAGCTGCTTCCGCATAGCATCCATCTTTCCCTTTCTCCTCTCTGTGTCAAAGGGAATACCCACAACGCCTCTCTCTGAGAGCCAGGGACTTTCTAGGGTTAGGTTTTGCTTCGTGAATTTGATGAAGTACATTCAGGATCGTAAGTGCGATGTAATTTTATTTAGAGAGATTTTCTCTATTTTATCCTTAATCTTTCTCCCGTAAGACAGTTTTATCCCCCACCTTCATTTCATGCCACTACTAGCCCGAACCTTTTGAAGAGCTACATGGTGAATGTGGAGCTTTCAATAGATTAATTAGTTGGAAGCTCTATATAACATGAAGGATAGAGAAAAAACATGCAAGTTTTTTCATTATTCGTCATATTATCATTTTTTATTAGTTTTAAGGCTGAAGTTAATAAAAAATTAATAGTGAATATTATTCAAAAGGTTGAAAATCACGAGTAGCACAAAAAAAACATTAGTAATAGAGATGAAACTAATTCAGATAAAAAGGTTAGACCAAAGAAAGATTTTACTTGGTAGAGACACAAATTCTTATTAAGGGGGCATGGCCATGTGTATTGTAATTTATGCATTCACATTTTAAGTCACAAAATCTATGTATAATTGAATTTGTATTCAATTTTGACCAATTTCTATTTTAATATATATATAAGATCCTATATCATAAAACTTTTATATTTATGTGATTGATTTCTATAAAAATATATTATATAAATGACTTCAAATAAACTTTGATCAAGTTTAAATTAAAGGTTTATTTCAAGTATAGTTTAAAAATTCAATTTAAAGATTTTAAAGTTTAAGAAAAAATTTAAAAAAAAATCAAAGTATTTCTAGAGAAAGCAATTCAAGTATAAAAAAACAATGAGGGTGACGATCATCTTTCTCACCATCACCCAAAGCGTGGTCTCCAATGAATAAAAAATTACAGAGGAACTAAAATGATAAAAAAAAAAAATTAAGAACAAAAATTGTAAAATAAAAATTGAAGTATAAAATTACTTTATTTATCAAATTTGGGCATCAAACTATTATTTCTTCAAAAGTTTAGTGGGCTTATAGCTAGAATCCGTCCTTAAACTTTTACTTATTTGCAGCAAAATGGTCTTTCTATTGAGAATTCTTCTTTTGCCCGCCCTTTATATTTTTTTCTTTTAGTATATAGAAATTATGAATTGAAAATTGAAGGCCAAAATGAAAAAGGGAATTGCTAAATTGAACCCTAAATTTATAATAAAAGGTAAAAATTTTACTATAAAATTTTAGATCACATAGCTAATTGTTCTTTTGCCCTTTAATGAAGTCAATCAAATGACTATAATACCGTCGTTGGATTGAGGGGAGATGAAGGAAAACAAAGTTTAAGATCTCGATTGATAAAACAAAACAAGTGGTGAGATAACTTCGGAGTAATTCCTCATAAATCTGGGACTGGGACAAAGTTGCAAATCCAAAAAATAAAGAAATAAAAGCAAAAGAAAACGACAAGTGTCAGAAGTCGTTTTGCGCGATCAAGCACTCCCGTCTCCCACAAAACTCGTTTTCTCTCCTCTCTGAAAATAAGAAAAAAGGAAAAACGATGAAGAGAGTTATAGTAACCTTCTTCTTCCTCACTCTCTCCCTCTTCCCCTTCTCCTCCTTCCAATTTGAATCCGACGAGCTCCTCCTTGACGACGAGGAGTTCGGCCTCGAGGGCGCTCCACCTCGCTTCCCTGAACCCGCTTCCATCCCGGCTGCTAGATCGTCTCGGAAGAGGCATTCCGATTCGGACTCCGATTCCAAGATCCAGTTTTCTCTGGAGCATGCGTTTGGTGACTCCGATTTCTCTCCTGCCGGTACCTTCTCAGCCCGCCTCAAGACTTGGAATCACGGTGGACAGGTTAGTTTGGTTTCTGTTTCGATGGTGAGATGAGTTGGGGAAGTAGTCGGGAAAGAACTGATTTTAGTTTGGATGCTATATTTTCAATTTTGAATTCCGTGCTAATTGCTAGTCTAGAGCTTCTTGGGCTGTTCTGGTGGTCTGAAATTACAAAGAAAAGTTGAAAAAAGAGGTGAACATTGAGGTTGTTTCCATTTTGATTTTGGTTTATTGTTTTATTTAAACTAAAAGGTTTATTGCACCATGCTAGATGACAATACTTCAGAAAGAATGTAAGCTATGACTCATGAACCATCAAAGTCATATGAACGTTTTCATTGTCTTATGGATAGAAACTGCTGTAATTTCAGATGCTTAGTATTGTTTTCAATCCCATTTTAGTCAAATGAGTGATTAAAGTTGCTTTTTTGAATGCTCTCTTTGTGAATTGTGATAGCTGAAAGTAGTTGCTAAAAAGATGGGGGGATTATTTCGAATTTTGACTGTGTCTTATGTTAAGGGTTGTTCTTTACCTTTTTTTTTTTTTTTGCTTTTCTATTTATATATCCAACTCTTGTATTTAAAATATTGATAATAGAAGTGGTTTACGGTGCGTCAGGATTATGTTATGTTTTTGAAGCATCATTTCTCTTTTCTTTTAATGAAACATATATTGATTATTTCATTTGAAGTGAAAAGTAGAAGTGATATTTATGCTATACCTTCTTTTCACTTTGTTATGACAACTTGGAGGAGAATTACAGGTCACTACAATTTTGTAAGGAAAAATATGTAGATTTTGTGAATAAATTTTGTTAACTTCATTTTTCCCCTTTACAAACCAAGCTGTTTTTCCTTTCCAAACCACAACTAATGAGTAATGCTGGACTGGCAAGGTCATTCTGAAATCTATTTCAGTCAATAGAGCAATGCTTTTCATGCATTATGAAACAACTGTATGAACTAAGATCTAGAATTAGCTTTCACTTCTACTTCACCTTCTACTTTTTCCCTTTTCCTCAAAAACTCAATGAAGCGTTTGAATTCTTTTGTTGATTTTTGAATGATTCATCCTGATTACTTTTTATATGGGAAAAGCCCAAGTATGATAATAAATTTGACATGCAATTTTTATTTTGTGATAGACACTTACAAAGCTACGGTTTTCAAGGAATGGTTTCACTGATGAGGAGAAGGAGAAGTTCAAAGTAAATCATATTATCTGAATTTCTAATTTATTCGTTTTTTCTCATTGCAATTAATCATTCTAGTTTGCTTTGATTTATATTATTCTCTATCTTCACAGAAGCTGCTTCAAGGTGATGACTTCTACAGGATAAGACTTCCATCCAATGTTTTGAGTCCTCCTGGGAGGGATTATATTATCTCATCAGTGAAAGCAGTAAGTGAATCACTAATCGATTTTTATGAATCCAAAACTTCTTTATCCTTTTTGTTCAACAATCTTCCTTTTGAGTATTTTCTTTCCTACTGGTTGCTTAAGCTGTTAATAATGTTAGTTGAAATGTCATTCTCTCTGTTTATTTTATGCTTTTGGATTGATACTTTTAGACCATGTAGATATCTGTCAGATTTAAGGTTATTACCAACTTATATTCGGCTAAGATTGAGAAAGGGTCTTTGCAGTTTGCCTTAAAGCTATTGACCACACAGTATCCCTTGAATCTGAATGTTTATTTCTTCTTACAGTTTGATCATAGTTGCTTTTGGTATCAACTCTTGACATTTTGTCTAAAAGAAGAAATAATATTCCATAAATATTGATGCTTTAAAAATATGACAGCAGAAGTTATAGATTTATGTTTGAATTTGAAACTTTGGTTTTCAAATATTAATTTAAAAAATTAGTAGATGTAATGCCGTAATGATCTTCCATCAGTTACCAAATTCTTCTAAAAATTTAATTACGTCATCTCTTTTTGGAATTTGTGTGGTTTTTCACTGTCTTTCTGTTTAATTGCAGAGATGTCTTCCACGGGATGGTTTGGATGAGCATTTTGTCATTCACACGGTAATTTAGAGTTAACTTTACATGTTAGTACTGCCTCATTCCTCCCAACCCTGCCCTGCCCCACCCCTCTCCTGTGCTTGTTTGTAGGACTGGGTTTTGGATAATTAGTTTATTTATTACTTCTTAGTTTATTTTCACTGCTTTGACATGCATCCAATGTTTACTTGCGCATTTCACTTTTAGATCACCATATCATCAGTTTGTATATAAAATTGGAAAATTTTGTTTGAGGAATTATATATGATAATCAGAGTGAAACTTCCTTTTGTAGTTTAATGCTTTATGTGGTTTGCCTGATTGCTGTTGTTGCCCCTTTACTCTTGCTGTCGCAGGAGGGTGTAAATATCTTGGCAGTCAATTATGGTTCTCCTGGGTCATGCCCATATCCTCGGCAATTGAAACTTGTGAGTTACTATTTTCCTCTTTCATTTTCTGTTGTTTCTCGGTTAGTTTAGCAAACTAAAGAAGTTATAATCTCAACTTATTTGAAATGCACACAGTTTGTTGTCATCAAGATGGCAGTATGTTAGATTTCCGCTTTAGCACTTGCAAAGTCTTCACTAACAGCTTTGAATGAGCCAAAGCATGAATTTTCTAGCCTTTGTTGTTTTCTTCTATTATACTGTTCTTTTTAGTGTGTTATGTACTATGTCATTTTCATGTGTGCTTGTCTTCATGTTACTACTTCCTAAATTGCAGTCCTCATTCTAATGTGTAATGTGTAGAGTCAAACCTTAACAGGTATGAGCTTATAGATTTAATTGTAACTTTAAATTGTTTTGGGATCTTATTCTTCAACACTTGTCCCGGATGCTGGATCTAGAAGAAGTTTTTAGCCACTCTGAATTTGCATATTTGAATGGCATTTCTTGCACCATAGCATGGTCAATTAGGGGTGTTGAGATTCAACAACTCTAACCTCATTAAGTCTTCTGTCATGGCATTCACTATCTGTTGTCCTCTGGACTTCCGGAGTTTCTTATTTTCTCATATTTTATATTTGCCAAGTAAAACAGAAGATCAATTTTGATGTGCTGATATTGTGATTTCACGAAGATGAAAAAAGGGAGTTTCCTTGTAGTCCTAAAAACTTGACCTCTGGTTGTATTATGATGTCTGTTCACTTTATGTGTATTACAGCCTGTTAAATGGTCCTTCAACTCGCACACAGTTTTAAAGAACAGTGAGCAGGCACCAAGGTATTCTCTTATCCTTGTTGTTCACTTGTTAGTTGTTCTTCGATCCAACAATGTAGCTCATGCTTTTTCTTTTTCAATTCTTTAATGAGAAGGGATCCATTTAGACACAAGTCTTACACACCACACTTAGACAAAATCTTGACCATTTATTTCTCCACATTTGATGGTTGAGATTTGTCACTGTTTTTTAGATGGAAAAAATAATTATCTTTAATAAAAATATAATAAAAAGTGAATAAATCTCAACCATTAAAAAAAAAGAGAGATGAATGGTCAAGATTTTGTGTAAGTATGGTGTGTAAAAATTGTGTGTAAGTGGATCCCTACTTTTTCTAATATGCCCAATATTATTGCCTCTTTCGTTATCTTCAGTTTCGTTGATTGTCATTTGCATGGCTTAAAGGATAATTTATAAAGGAGAGAGAATGTAAATTGCAAGCTCATCATGTTTCTCCCTATTTTAATAGCATGAGATACAGGCCTTCCTCGGTGGACGCATTGCTTTTACTAAACAACTCCTATGCATCCATTTCTTTATTTCCAAGTTGATCTTATGTTTTGGTTTTATTTGCATCATAGTTGGTTCCTTTATTTTAATCTGAAAAGCAAAAAGGTTCTCTCATATGGTTTTTTATTTTGTAGAGCTCCAATCTTTACCGAAGAAGTACCAGGTGGTGACAATGGAGAGGGTGAAGTTGTGCAGCCACCTGAAAGGTCTTTCTGGGCAAAATATGTAAGTCATCTTGGAGTTAAAATTTTGTTCACTGTGTTCTGCTAAATTCATCTTGAGCATGACTAACTGTGAGTCTTTTGTTTATAGTGGATGTATTTGATCCCCCTCGGACTCATAGTGATGAATGCAATAACCCAAGCAATGAACATGCCTGAGGAACAGGCTACTGGTCAACCGGCAACACAAGGACAACCAGCTACGGGAGTGCAGCGTGGTCCAAGTGCTGCAGTGCGTAGAAGATGAGATGTAATCATGTAACATTTTCGGGGAAAAGTATTTGCCAAAACAAGCACTTTATGGTTAGATGGCGCTCGGATTGATCTTCATAGGTTTTAAGATTGCAGGCAAAGCAAAACTCTTTTGTTGTCTCGAAGGTAACTGATTCAAATAGCTTAAAAAACATATTTTGTTCTGTATTTAATAAAAACTTGCACCACTTCGGCAGCTAGTAATTTCTTTTTCTCAACAACTATCGGCAGCTGGTAATTTCTTTTTCTCAACAACTACTCAACTAGTAAGTTAAATGATAACCTTAACTGATCTTGTGTGATTATTTTTTTTTTAATTTATTAAATTAGTTCAAGAAAATTATTCTTTTCATGTGTATGATGGTTTAGTGGTTATTTTAAAAAATGCTTTAAGAATTCTGAATTTGGTTTTCTTATTGGGAATTTTTTTATTAGAGTTTTCTTATCTGGATTTGGGTAAGATTTAAGACAAAAAATTTACATTTATTCCAACATCATCGCTGCTTGTAAAATTTTAATTAGTTTATTAATTAAATTAAATTCAATATTTATATTTTTATATAAATTAATTACGAAAAATATAATTATTACTCTCTTTATTTTAAAATAATTATTATTTTTGACTTTTTTTTCAAATTAAGAATTTATGTATAATTTATGTATTTATCTATATTATTTAAAAAAAGATAAATAGATTTTTTGTGAAATGAGAATTAATTAAAATAAAGAGACAGTGAAAATGTTAAAATAAAAAAATATTTTATTATTTTAAAAAATTAAAAGATAAAAATTAACTTGAGATGAATTTAAAATAAAAAATAATAGTTAACTTAATAGAGAGAGAATAAGTTAAAAAAAAACTATCAATTAATTTATAGAACTTGTTTCATTTTAACTTAACGTTGCTAATTTTTTTGTAATAAAAGCCAAAAATCAATAAGATCATTATTAGACAAACTTACGTTGTTTACTAAGAGAAAAATGAGAAATTACGTGCTCTTAAGCGTGTTAAGATAAGATCATGAGTATATGATTGTAGATTACAAGTTTACAACTTATATACAGCAAAATAGCGAGCAAAAAAGTGTTTATTTCATATAGATTTGCAAAAAAATACAAAAATACTTGTAAAATTATTTAATCTCACAGACATTCTTGCATTTTTCATATTACATGTCAACTTGAAAATACACAATTCCGATAGTAAGAATAAACCATCCTAACAAAAGTTTAAGAGCATTTTTTATAATTATTTTATTAAAAAAATTTCAAAAACTTAATTGAGAAAGTCAGAGATATAATTTTAATTTTATTTTAAAAATCTTGAATCCTACATCCTCAAGGAATCCCGGTGCCACCATTACACACTGACACCATTGCCGTCTAACTGTGGTGAGAGCTGCGCGCCATTTTCCTCTTAGTCGGTTTTCTCAGGAATAAAAAGGGATTTAGGATTAGCGTTCCCAATTTGTTCAGTTCTGCGGCTGCGAATTGCCTCCCATCTTCCTTCGTTTCAGGGATGGGATCGGCGGCAATTAGCGATCTTGTTGTGGGCAGTTCAGAAGTGAAATATCCAGAATCAATCCTCAAATGGAAAAAGATCTCCTTCGTATGCCGTAAGAAAGAAGATGTTGGAGGAGAAGAGTCAGGAGCGTCCTGGATGACTCCGTCGACTCAACCCGGATTCACGAGTCAGCGTGATATCCTTCGAGAGACTGCGAAACAAGAAGCAACCCAGGTGAAGAACAAGAGACGAGGTTTTTCGTTTGCGCTTCGGAAAGAAGAAATTAAAGAGGATGTTTTCGCTGTCACCGGTTTGAAGCAGGTGAGGATGCCGAAGAAGAGAGCCGAGAAGGTACAAAAATAAATTCACTTCTTATTTCCTGGCTCGGGGCTCGAATTCAAAGCTCGTCTTACTCATTGAACGGGATAATCTACCTGGATATTTTGATATTCACTCATAATCGGTTGTTTTTGTAGTTTTTTGTAGGTAGAACAAAATCTGTTATCAATAAACAATAAAGGGTAGAGAGTTATTTGTAGTTTTCTTTTCTTGTTGTATGTAATCAATGATTCTAGGGTTTCACCGTATTGTAAAACACAAATCATTAGATTAAAGGCATCTTCCTTATCATTGCCCTCGCCATTTCAGTAGTTAATATTTTACATTTACTAGCTAAATTACAAGACACTCTTTTGATAATCAATTATTGGGATAATGGGATGTGTTGATGCAAGCTATGATTTTTGCTTTTGGTATATATATTCACTTATTGAGAAGATGGGATCCATTGATGCAAGGATATATGAAGAAACTTTCACCAGTTTTTGCTTATGCACTATTCTATAATTGCATGTGCAATTATTTAGTCATTGGGGAGGTTGTTTTCTGTAAAATTCTTCATGAGGAAGGTTCATAATAAGGTATATCATATAAATGTTGTTAAGTCTCAAATGTTTTGTTATTGAAGACTTTATTCTAGAACATGTGTGTGCCCGTCACTTGGTTTTGGATTGAGTTTTGAGCATGATCACAGCGTAAGTTTTGGGAAAGGAAGGATGCATTGTCGAATAATTGTGTTTCAATGAACACAATACAGAAAATGGAAATGGCTGTATATTTCCTTCTGCAATTGAGGTGTGAGAAAGCATTGGTAATGGCAATGGCTCATCATGACCTTGCTCACTGCAATCAATATCGAACATTCAAAACATTTACATACAAGATCTCAAGAAATATTTAAAAAAACAAAACAAAAAGAACCAAAAAAATAAAAAAAAGTCTTGAATCTTGATGCCTTCAAAATATAGAAATATCAAGGGAAAAAAAAAATTAAAAGACTAGTAGTATTAAATTCCATGCATGGATGAGATCCTTCTTTTTTAAGATTTAATGAGTTGAGCTTTTTGGATTGGTAAACAGGCACTTTTTCAATTGAACAAGGTAAGCTCTCATGCAGCTCGATAAATTCTCGGATACCATTTCTTTAGCAAAACTTTGCATGCGGGCAATCACTTTCCATGGCCTTAGTAATTATAACTCCCTATTCAGACTAATAGCTCTGTAGAGACAGCAACATCATTCTCAACGAATGGCAGGAATGTTGGAATTTATTTATTTACATAGCATATAAAGGCGATATAACAAGAAACATCACTCCTTAAATCCAAAGTCTCCACAATGTCTTAAAGGATTTGAAGTAGACTTCCACGTTGGAAGTTTCCCTCAATGCGTTATGGCATGTCCATAAGATTAAAAAACTAAGCTTTACACACACGCAGATCTCTAGTTACCATACTCTTACCTAACTAGATAGATTGACAAATCACTGCAGGGGATATCAAGAAAGGAGAATGGGAAATGGGATATAACCTTTAACGATTAGTGCCAGTTCTTTCTTGACTTGTGGAGAAGGTTATCAATCACACACATCCTTAGGTTTTTCCCACCAGACAAGGCTGTTGACATGGGGAAATGAAGTTGATGGAATGTCCTCTTCTACCTTTCCTTCTACCTTTCTCATCAATTGGAGTTTGAAGTCATAAGCATGCAACGAACCATCTTTCTTCCTCTTGAAGATCATATCTCCACCAATTTTCAAACTTAGCATTGGAACCATACTGCGCACAGAACAAGTAGAGATACGATGATGTTTGGTCCATACCTCATCATGTAGGCCCTTCAGAATCCAAATATCTATGTCCGGTTGCTCATGAGTAACAAAAGAAAGGAATCCGCCCATTTCCAGAATACCATCATGAGTTCCACAGCTCTTTGGAAGGGGCACCGTGTGAAACTTCTCATTGACCAGTTCCATAGAGACTAAATAATCACTGTGATTTATCTGGGGAATCCAATGCAAAGCTCCAATAGATGAAACAGGTGCTGTGCAACGTAGCGAACCAAAGAGCCCAAAAGCAGGTCCATTCACTTCTTTCCAGAATTTTGCCCCAACATTTAATATCTCACAATTTATATGTCTCAACTCATCCCGAAACAAGTGCACTACTTTATAATCACCAGTAACATCACTGTATGCAAAGCCATAAGATTCAGCATTTGAGAGAGATAAAGTTCCCACAGGAAGGGAAGTTGACTTTCTGGTGACAGGATTCAAAACTATAAGTCCTCCTTTCTTCGAAGTGTTATCGATCAACAGGAGGCCATTGCATGCAGCTCTAATCTTGCCTGAACAGCTTATCTTGTACTTTCCTATCCTGCTGGTTCCCTCTCTAAATTCAATAAACTGGGTACAGACTTTCTTTGTTCTGTTGGGTGTTGGTCCCCCAAACAGAATAATGGGGGCTGGAGGATTTGAATGTTCCTCATCTAAAGAAGTTTTTTGAAAGACCAACACAGATTCAGATCTACTAAAATGGGAATTAATGAAAGTGGGGCCAGTAATTATGTTGTACCATGGCTTGCATACCAACATTGACTTTGGGAGAGACTCGGTAGGCATTCGAATAAGGATATTAGAGACACAATCTTTTGGAAGATAAGGGACAACAGTATCTTGCTGCTGCTCTTGCTCAATAATGTTTTGTGGCTGCCTTTCCTCTTCCTTCGCCTTCTTGGACAATTCTCTTTCCTGCACTAATCTCACTAAGTTTATTCTCTTCTTCCCCACTGCTTCAGTCATCATGTATTCTTAATCCTGAATCAAATGCCTAACCAAAATAAAAATTCAGAAAAGTGACCATGTAAAAGAATTGTATGTGTATCCATACACATATGCACTTAAAGATAAGAAATATACATACATGGTCAAGTACAATGCTTTTATTTGATAATGACATCATATCACCATATGCAAAGCCATAAAACCTACCATGAAAAAGATGTAGAGAACCTAAAAGTACAAAAATCTATTTCCTTAGCCAGAATTTCAGTACATGAAGATCCAACAATACCCTGGCAACTTACCCTAGGGCCAGTTTGGCTTGAGGCCTCTTTTTCCTGGGAAAATATTGCTTGGGAAGTTCTTGGAAGAGCACTAAATAAAGAGTTGGAAGGACCATTGGGAAAGTTGTTAACTTATGTAAGGGAGTTTTGTCAGGATTGTTAGCTTTTCCATTTTTGGTAGGAGACATTGGAAAAGTTAGGGGGAAAGCCTTTTAACTACAATATCAATGGCAAGAAAAATTTCCTTATCTGGAATTGTCTGCAGGTGAAAATGCATCCTTTCTAGGAGTGTAAATACCAAATTACCATTTAACTTTCATGGATAACGTGGGGAAAAGTTTCCAAATACAAAACACCACCTTATGCCCTCTTTTGCTCTTTCCTTGTTAATTTCAATGAGCTAATTCACATGATATCACAAGCACATGTTAATTCATACTTGATACATGCTATGAAGGTTTTGATAGGATAAGGGCCCCTAAATGCAGTTATTTAATCAAAGGAATTAACTTAAGAGCTACTCTGAGCACTCACATACAATACTAGGAATAATGTTCAAGTATAATGCCCAGGACATAGATTACCTAATCAACAGCAGGTGCTTGTCATGGTCATCCAGGAACTTACTGTTCTTAAAGTGCATCTGTATGCACGAGGTCTAGCAGTCATATATGAATGCGAAAATAGCAGTAAACCACTAGAATTAGGTAAAAATATATAAATAAATACTATACACATAAACAGAACATTTATAAATAGAGAAGGGTCCAATCCCTTCCCAAACGCGAAGACCATCAGACGAGGATACAGAAGCCCGAAATACTTGAATCTAAAGATACCCTCATACTCACTCCCATGAATAACACATATCAAAAAAGAAAACCCCCATGAAGAACAAAGCCTGAAAGCCCACATCCCAGATCCCACAAAATTGGGGGAAAAAAAATGCAATTTTTCATACGCAGTTGATCACCCATACAAATAATATCAAAACCCCTTTTCCTGAATCATACTAAAACTACAAATTCAAGCAATCCAAGGACAATAACCCATCAATCCATCACCAAATTCCAAGGAAATCAGATAAAACGACAACAGATTATGCTACCGTGTGAGCCGAAACAGATGGAACAACAAGGAGAGTGTACCTGATGGATGATCAATAAAGAAAGCAACAAGGGTTGACAAGGAACTGCTGCTTCTTCGCCGTCAAGGGGAAGAAAAAGAAACGATTCTGCATCAAACCCACCTTTTTATTGCTTTAATTGAAATATTATTTCTTCTCCATTGCATTTAACGGCGATCCAATTGGCAGCCATTTTTTTGCTTTTTGACTAAGAAGGCAGAGTGTGGTAAAGTGAACGAAATTGTTGGATGCTTTAGGGCTGTCGATTCCATGGTCGTGTTTAAAAGACAGGTAATGTGTTGTGTTGGTCCTCAGACTTCAGAGAGTTTCAATTTGTTCCTTCACTTTTTTAGTTGTGTTATTTTTGGTAGGATTTAAGTTTCATTTGGAGAGCTCTACAAAGAGTTCGTTTTAGCAGTATCATACTCAAAAATGAAAAATTATTATAAATAATTTATTTTAATTATTATTTTATATATTTTTAAAATAAAAAATAAAAATTTTACAAATACAATACAATCTAATAAAGCACTATTATAAAGTATTTTTTAATAGTACCATATTTCAAAATAAAATTTATTATAAATAATTAATTTTAATTATTATTTTATGAGTTTTTTATTTTATTATTTAAACTATAGCAGACTATAAAATATGAATCAATAGATAGGAGGGAGGGCCCTTAATATTAAGGAGTTACCTTATTCAATAATCAAATTTGTACAATCTAAAACAATTCAGACTACATAATCCTTTTTCATTATTTTATATATTTATAAAATAAAAAAAGATAAAAGAAAAATTACAAATATAGCAAAGTCTAGTAGAACACTCCATGTAACGCCCCAGAATTTTCTTAATTTCATATTTACCTTTAATTGCTCTTCAATGCTTAGAATACAAGTTTGGGGACCAAAGAATCTATTTAAGCAAAGTTGAGTTCC